GGGGCTTCCCTGCCATTTTAGCCGTATTTTGGCATTATTGAATTGGAAGCTATAAATAGCATTGCCATGTTTGCAAACAGCTGGTTACTGTCAAGAAGTGTTTGATGTCATGGCTTGAGAGTAGTTAATACTTCAGTTTTGCCATTGCCAAGCATGCATAAAAAGTTTGTGCGTGATGCCTTCGATGGAAGTTGATGCTTACTTGCAGCTTTGAGATCTTTATTAAACTTCAAAATTGGGATGATCTTGGGATCTTGCTTTTAAACCATTCCAGTGCTATTGCTGGAAGAGCCATTGTGAAATGTGACTTGTCTAAAACTTTGCATAAAAATTCTGCCTAAAAAAAATCTGAACATTCAGTACTGAACACTCAGAATACTCAGTATTTAGCTCTTTTCGTAATTTCGGGTGGATCTCATGCTAAAAGCATAGAAGTTGGACTAAGCCAGTAGCCATGCTGAGTCTCTGCTCCTCAGAGGAACAAATACATCAGAGGAACTTAAATATGGTAGTAATAGATGCTGTAGGAAAACATCAGTAGGTAATACCTATAGACACCATTTAAGAACATCTTATAACCTTTGGAAGACAGCTTAGTTTACTTCCTTAGTGGTTTTATTTTAATATAGACCATATTATAGTTTATATATATCATCCTCAGTTTTGAGAGAGCAAGTTTAAAATAAACCGTTCAGTATGTTAGCAAATAAACAGAGATCTCTAAAATGTTTAGACTAGTGTGGCTTATTTTGGTGTGGCTCTGCTATTTCTGGGAAGCTTATTTTGGTCTCTTGTGCAAGTATGTAAAAATATTTTGTTTAAAAAAAAATTAATCACAAATTGATTCCTCTTTCCCCTCATTATGTTGGAATACAACATCTGTGATTCCTGCTACTGTGTTGTTTATTCCAAGTCTTTGGAAACAATTCAATTTTAAACTACCTTTTAAACTACCTTATTAAAAGTATTTACTGAAGTTCAGATTTACTCTTTTGTAAATATCATTTTAGATTTAGGTGCTGGAAAGTTAAATTGGACACTTTCTTCATCTTAGCTAGTGGTAGAACATCAGGCTCACAAAATAAGATGCTGAAGTGGCAAACTGTACATCCTCTTAACGTGCGTGGCAGGGTTTCTGGGGTGGTGCTGACTGCTGGGGGTCGCAGCCTGGCACATACGGGGAGCTTGGCAGGCTGCAGGGCTCCCTGTCTCCAGCCTTCCTGGCAGCTGGAGCAGAGTGAAGGGTCCCCTTTCTGGGGTGGTTTGCTGTCTGTTGTGGGACTTGGTGTCCCACACACCAAGTGGTGTGGGACTTGGAGGAGGGGAGAAGTGCTTGGAGGAGGAGAGGAGAAAAGAAGGATTGTGTAGTTCGTCTGTACTGCCCAAACCCCCAGGCAGTAAGGACATGCATGCATTTTTTTTACAGAATCAGGAAATATAGAAATGTATTACACTTCTGTTACACTTATTCATTATTAATGAATAAAATCCCTGAAGCTGATAGATATTTGTAGTGTACCTGTTGAATTTTTTTCTTTCTAGTCAGTGTGATTTTTTTTTGGGGGACCTCAATTTAAACATTCATCTCTGACGTGGTGGTTGTTCTGTTTCTGTAGTTCTTCACAAACCACAATATAGTCAGTCTGTAGTTGAGCATTTCTGATCGCTAGATAAGCCAGTAAAATAATGCAAGTTCTGGTACCTAGGATTACTCATGTGGTTATACATCTATATAGATATCTATATATCTCTCTCTTAAGCTTGGCATACTTTTGCATTTTAACATAGTGGTTGTCACCGAGCAAGGTAGATTTTTATTAAGAATACGGTTTGCATTTTTTAGCTAAAGATTTATGTCTTGATTAAATAAAATTCAACAAAAATATTCAACTGCAACTCGTTTATTTTCTTACTATCCAGCAAAAGGCAGTCGTTAAGACTTGCAGGGGATCCTAATGAGGACTTGTTGTCGTGCTGCTCTTTAACTGGGGGTTGATGCAGCTGCTCGTGTGTGTGTGTCGTCAGTGCCAAATACCTGATAGATTATGGCAGCACATGAGAGTCCTGTTTGTTTACTTCCTCTTCCTTAATCTGTCAGATACAGAAATCCAGCCTTCTTATCTGCTGAATTATTTTAAATGTACTGGGCTAAAAAAAGTGCAAAAAATGCTTTGCAGTCAAGACTTCCGTATTAATATATTTTGGCATTTCTCATGTTGTTTTTGTTCTAGTGTGGGAAAGGAAAACAAATCCTCCTGCTTTTTCACCTGAAATGATTATCACAATTTTAAATGGATTAGTTACTGAACTGTACCAAATGGAAAGAAAGGAATTATTCTTTCTACTTTTGCAGAAGAGGCTGTGACTGTCTGAGTTGATCACTCAGATGAGCTCTGGTTTCAGGTCCTTAGCCAAGGAATTCCTTTGCTTCAGTTACTCGATTTCACTGCAGAATTTCAGCAAATGTGCTGCTTGAGTATTTGAAGTTTCTGTAATCGTATGTGTTAATAAAGGATGTCACCGTGAAACAATTAATGTGTTTAATTAGGATTGCAAATTTGAAATTTAGATAAAATTTGAGAAAATATCATACAGACTCTCAATAAAAAGCTTGAAAACATTTTTGTCTGAAGTAGCTAATAATTGGATATATAGTATTATGGGGACTGTTAGATAGGCTGTTATTTTAACTGGGTAGGCTCCTCTCTTCTCCCTCTGAAGTCAGAGTACTTGAATTAAGTTGCTGTTGTGGAAAATTAAAGTTTTAGAACTTAAATCTTTGGAAAGTCAGTAGTTTACCTCCATTGCTCTGTAAATATATAATCTTACTTTTCTTGTGAACATCTGTAAAGCAATCTCAGCTTGCTGGTCTCAAAGGGAACTATGATTATGGTGTTGATTTCTGCTCTCTCCTTTCAGACAGCATAAGTGAGCTGGTGTTTTGTGTGTTACTACCCATGGTGTATGCCAATGTTGTTGATTGTGCTGCTTTGTTTCAGCCAAGGAGTATTGCAGGACAGTATTTTCCTATGAAGGCTCAAATGATGAACTCAGCTTTAAAGAAGGCGAGATCATTCAAATAATCAGTAAGGTAAGATGTTCGGTCTGCTTTAACCATTTATATAGCTTTTGTGGATTTTGTACAAGTAGGTAATGTGTAAAATGTGAAAGCAGGAGAGTCTGTTGGAGTAGATAGTCCTGTAGACTGATTTATCTCATGTGAGAGTCAACTCATTGCTTCTGCACTCGGTGGAGATACGGATGTCCTTAAAAACTTGCCACTCTGGAACGATCATCTTAGATTCCTCAAAGGCCAGTCGGATCAGTATACGCTCAGTAGCAAATACATTTTCAGTGAGGAAATTGGAAAAGCTTTGCAAATAGCCCTTTTGCCTTCAGAACTCGTACTTATTCTCTGGTGATATATCACGCTGGCCTAGAGGTGGGGGTTCGAGAGTATTATTGTGTCAAATGGTGAGAAATTAAGATCTGTACTTACTGATTTTGATCGAGGTATTATGAAAAAAAAACCAACCCCTGAGCAAATGTTTTCAATAGGAAAGTGAAGTCCAGGTGTTAGAGCTACTTGGTATTTCAGAATAACTATACAGAAGTTAATGGTATTGTCTGGCTATTTAAGAGAAACATCAGCATTTAGTTGAATGTTATTTGTGTTGCATATTGAAAACACCATTTTGAAAGGTCATCGTGATGCAGAGACGGCTTTAGACAAGAAATGAACCTACACATAGTTAATTTCTCTGCGGTATTCTGCAGTCTTTTGTTAGTTTATATGCTGCTACGTTAAGGAATTACGCCTAAAAAAGTGGAAAGTTTCTCTTTTTTTCCTTTAGCTTTCACACAGTTGCAGAAAAAAAATCCCTTTTTTTTCTTTAGGAGGATTTTAATTTTATGGAAAGGAGGCACTTTTCTTAAAAAGAAAATTGATATTATCATTATTACTGATTGTAATGACAGTGGAAAATAGTAATTACAGAAGGCACTTTTTAAAACGCAACAGCCCTTGCCCCATCTTCACTGAATCTCTCACCTCTCTATCCTTTCAAAACCAATTTAAGCAAAGCATATACACTGGTCCAACTGGAGTGAAGAAATTATCCAGAGCAGAGCTCTCCCTCCAAAACTATCTGCTGAAGTCTGAGAATATTAATGTAACTTTCAGGTGGCTGCCTCAGCCTGGGATTTTGATCTTGCCAGTTGTGAAGGTATTTTACTTTTAGCAGGTACACTTTGTGTAAAGCCTGTCCCCCTTGGCCATTTCTTTTCTGTTTGTTCTGCATTTTCTGTGGCGTGGTTTCTGCCTGGCTAGCATGCCTCAGCACGGGGTAAGTGAGGTTTAACAGGAGAGGCCTTACCCCATTCACGACCGTCCGCTGTTCAGAAAGTGGGCTCCTTGGTACTTAGTTGAAAGGGTGACGGAGGGACAAATGAAAGAAAACTTCAGCAAACTTTTACTTTCGGCACTGATCACATATTCAGGTCTTTTTTCTGCTGATTCCTCCTTTAGCTTAATGTGGGGTGGGATTCTTATTTTTAAATTGTTTTATTTTATATTTTATTGTTCCTCCTCTCCTTTTCCTGTTCAGGTAAAGTTACCTTTACCTCAGCTGAACTGTGTGCTGCGTTGTCCTTGTTGTGTAGTGAACTTTGGGGTGAATTACTTGGTGCTGCTAACAGTGGCACATATCAGCAGTAGTCCACTTGGACTTGTATGCAGGAGTGACATTTGCAGTATTTTGGATCTGAGGCACAGAGGAAAGCTGTTATTTATGCTGCTAAAAGATTGAAATAACGTCATACTTTCTGTTTTGGACAAACGAAGGCCTCGATCCAGTAAGATCATGTAATGGATTTCTGTATCACTGAATTAATTCTCCATTAATTTTTTCTTGCGTCTTAATGTGGTTATTTTTTCCCTCAGTGAGTTATATCGTCTTGCTTCTTCAACCTTTTTAGACCAATGGACCTGATCAATCACATCAGAATCACTTTTATTTGGTAGATTTTGTTGGAGTTTGTTACTCCAATGACACTTGAACTATTTACTGAATAAGTTGCCCATCAAGGAAGTTGAGAATGTTGAATGTTGTGCGTTGAGTACATAACTGGGTTTATGTACTTTCCCTCCCTTTGCAGACCTTATCCTTATACCCTTATCTTATATATGATGTAATATCATTTCGTCCTACTTTTTAGAAGACAAACAAAAAGTGACCAAACCTGACCTGATCCGTAGCTGTTTCCCCTTGCTACGGTGGCCAAAGTATTCCTCTTACAAATGCATGATATTTCAAACAATTATTTTATATTGTAGGTAAAAGCAAAAACGTTGTTCTTGTAAGTGTATCTGTTCTGTGGAAAAAGTAAATATTGATTGAAATGTCCTGGTTTTATTTTAGGACACTGGAGAGCCAGGCTGGTGGAAAGGAGAACTCAATGGTAAAGAAGGAGTCTTCCCAGATAATTTTGCTGTTCAAATACAAGAGTCTGATAAAGACTTCCCTGTAAGTTCTTATGTGTATTGTTTAGTATCACAAAAAAGTATTGATGGAAGTGCAAGGAATAGAAGACTTCACAGCACATTATGTTGCTTAGAATATTAATACAATTGTGGCAGTGTTTATCTTGAATTAGCTGTATCAAAGAGGAAAGTTTTAAAGATTAATGCTTGCGTGTAAACTTCTCCTTAAATATCAAACCAAGGCATGCTTTTCAAGATTAACTGATGAGGATGATTACGTCATATAGAAAACGATATAGTTCTGATAACATGGTGTTACGAGTAACTGATTACTGAATTAAACCCTTACTCTTTTGAAAAGTGATAAACAGTCTCTTCCATCTGTAGTCCTGTCAGTAACTATAATTGCAAAATGCTGAATGACCCCTGTGGGACTCACTGGGATTTTTCGTTGTTAAGACTTGCCAGTAGGTTGCAGTGCGTGAAGGATAATCTTTAGGTGGGATCTAGAAATGGTTTTTTTTTTTTTCACCATCTTTGCTACCTGGTAGAAACTCATGTTTTCGTGTGGTACTCTTTGGTCTTGTCATTTTGGTTCTTACTTTATAATTTTTTTATTCAAGTTAGTGTGAAGTTTTGATTCTGACACATTTGTTAGCAAAGATGGTTGTGTTAATTTCCAAATGTACATCATCCTCAGATGGGACAGATTCCGCTCCAGATAGTTCATCTGAATGTTGAAGCCAGTATCTCAGCAGAACAGAGTTTCAGAGTTTCACAGTAATTTAGTGCCATGTGGTCTGGAATTGGACACATTCACAGAGGATTGCTAGATATAACCTGTCAGAAAGTTAATAACTTAGCATTTAACCTCAGTTACCTAATAGACACAGGAAGTCTCGTTACTCCAAGTCAGCATTTTCTTTTCAAATTGGTTCTCAGCTTTGTAAGGATGGCATAAGTGCTGTAACGTATGGCTGACTTGATTTGAGGGGTGGCTGGGTAGTATCACTCTTCTGCAAGAGCATTGGTTGCTTGAGAGAGAGAGAAAAATTGTTCTTTTACCGGAACAATGTTTCCTGTAGGCAGACCTTGCTTTGATCCTTTATTCTGCTTTGTGTAGCATGTCTCAGTACAGGGATTTACCTTGCACTGAGCAGCTTTGAAGTTCAAGGTATTGGATGGCTGATTATTGTAATTAGCTATTTGATATGGACTTAATAAAAACACAGATCAGAATCATATAATGGAAGTTTGATGCTGAACTCTCGCTGTAATTGTGTTTGATGCAGGCAGCAGTGCTGCACAGCTGGATAATGCGTTTGCATTTTTAGGAAAGAAAGAAAATACTGTCTTGTTACTTAAGTTCACTAGCTTTTGTGTTCTCTGAAATTAGGGAAAGACATTTAATATGGGTTTTCATGCTTGCCTAATTACATTTCACTTGTCAGAATAAAATCTTTCTGCATTAAGAAGAGCTTGTTCAATAGTGGTAGGGACACAGAAGTGAAATCCATCCATGGCAACTGTTTCGAAAATACCCACTACAAGGCATTTTTGGAGGGGCTATGTTAGACTGAGCCCATGTGGTTTCAGCAATGTTTGTATAAAGAACAAGTGGTTTTGTAGGCTTTTGTGATTGTTTTATCAGTGAGTCTTGTCCTTAGCACAACCACACAGACTCCTAGATCATTCTCATGAATCAGATTCTGAGGATGAGGTGGCTTGAGATGTCTGTCCTGAGAGGTGCCAGTACTCCTTCAACAGGAGAGAGATTCAAATTCAGTTTTACTGGATTAAGGAAAGTAATGAGTGACTGCATTTTAAAATAGTTATTTTCGATGTACAAATGTGGCGTTGTAACATTTTGTAAGTTTTTAATAGCTAGAGTAGTTTCTCCACCTTTCCCACTTAAATACACAGTGATAAGGAAGCTCAAAACAGTATTTTTCATGTAACTGTGGTGTTTATGTTGCAAATGCTGCTTTTTATTTTCTTACACTGCTGTAATTTAGGAGACAATTAATAGTTATTCTGATACTTAATTTAGAACCTTTTTTTTTTTTTAGTGAAAGTGACCATTTTGGTTCAAAAGTTTACATGATTACTCTTTTAAACTTGCATTGTACTAACTAAGATTGGGGTTTACATGTTGAAATTAAAATGGGGCTGATTGGAACAATTCTTTGGACTAGAAAAGATGTGATTCTTAGTTTTTAGTTCTTTGTACCTCTACTGCTTATGCACATTCCTGAAGCACTTCAATCTGATTTGAAGAAACCTACATTTTGTTCCTGTTTTTGCAACTGGTTGTCTGGGGGATATCAGAGGAATTACTCCAGTTCTCTGTGTTTCTTGTCTGAATCGATTGCCTCCTTTGAGAGATACTTTGAAATCAGCTAGTAAACAAGCTAGACATTACAGTATGCAAAACAAAACACAAAGGAGTTTTGTTTTCAATATAAAGTATGTTTGTTTATGTATTTGACTACTTTTTTTTGTTGGTTTTTTTTTTTTCCATTTTGCAGAAGCCAAAGAAACCTCCACCTCCAGTTAAAAGCTCAGGTACGTAGTTTCTGTATGGTGGTATGTGTCTGAGGAAATATTAAAGTTCAGAAGTAGTGCATGACTTCAAAAGAAAATTCAGAAGTAGCTTTGTATTTCCTAGTAATGCAGCCATCCATAGTCACAGTTTGAGGTTACTTTTTATGTTTTATGTATTTTGTTGCTGCTGCTGCTGCTATATATTTTCTGAAATTATGATGGAGCCTACTTTGGAAACAGTTTAATACAGGCCTACTGTTTTGTGGGCTCAAATGAGCATTTAAAAATGGTATTATGCTCCTTGCAAAGGAGAAAATATAAACACAAATTGGTGTATGTCATATTTTTAGTTAGTGACTAAGATAATTAAAGCTCTTTGAGAAATGTCTATGGTTTGTTTTTGTATTCAGCTCCAAAGCCTGAATTGCCAGCTGGAGAGAAGAAATTCCCTTCTTCGAGGCCTGAAGAAAAAGGTGAGACCAGTTTTCTTCATAGTGAGTTTCAGACAATGCTCTTGTAAACGAGTTGCAATTTTTAGCTTGGCTGCTGTGTGCAATAGGTGCCTGTTTCAAAGACATCGTACAGATTCTCTTGATATCATCTACTGAAGCTGATGTGTCTGTGATTTTTATGGAAATGTCTTCAGAGTGATTAGAAGAACTGTGAAACGTGTATTTCTTGCTATTGCATTACATTCTGAAAGCTGTAGATTGCACAGCATAATAACATAGTTACTGTTGAATTCATTTGAATATAGTTCTGTGACAGGCGCTGCAGTTTTGAATGGCAGTAGTAAGTTATTAGAAATGAAAACGTTTGCTGCTGCTTCTGAATGTTTTGGCCAAAATCAAAAATATGTTTGAAAGAAGTACACGGAACAGTTACAACACTCCTCAGACAGATGTTACAGTCACAACGCTCAGAAATCGAGATTTCTTGTGCTGCTAATTCTTGCTATATTCCTTGTTTTCCAGTTCCACGGAATTTGGAGATGTTACCACTTTATTCTTAAAATTTAAAGGACACCTTTTTTTTTTTTTAATTTCAGAGAAAAGCTACTGTTATCACCCAAACACAGTTCTAAAAGGTTTCTTTTCATATTTGAAAAACTTGCCAAGTCAAACTGTTAAACTGTTTTGATTGTGTTTAAAAGTCAGAAGCTTAAACAAACGTGCTGGTTGGGTCTTAAAGAAGAAATTCTGTTGTTACTGCAGCTTAACCATATTACAAAAACATACTCCGTTCTGTGAATAGGGAACTGCGGCTGAGTGTGGCTGAACAGCATTTTGACAAGTAAGAATGGATTTCTTGGCTTCCTTGGGCAGTTTTTAAAACCCACATTTTAAACAAAGCACGTTCTCAGGTGTTTCATATGAAGAATACTTGTTAAAATCAACTACGTTTCCTCTGCATGTGAGGGAATTATTTTTATCTCTTGGAACAGTATCTTGAGGTTGTGAATAGAGATCAGCTGTGTGAGTCTAGAAATTTTGATCACTTGCCTCTTTATAAGTTTTAAGTCTACTTAAACTGAAGTAAGTTTAATTTTAGGCTGGTTCTCTTTGTACTCTACTTTGTACCTTTTGCATAGTGAGCTCAATTGTTCATGGAGGGGGAAAAAAAATACTGAGTGACACCATCCAAGATGCTTAGGAACATGAAAGCTTCTGAAAAATTAAGTAAGATGGAGAACTGCCCTTTACTGTGATGTAGGAAATGATGGAGGAAGAGGTTGTTTTGTATTCTGCCGAAGGTCAGGTCTTAAAAGTTACTTATTTAGATAGCAGTAGTGTTTTACTGGAAGAAATACTCATTTATCAGTGCAGTTTTACTTGTGGAAAAGCAAACATAGTGATACTAGTGATTAAATTCATTAAGTATGAAATGGTACTGCAATTGGTTTTAAAAAAGAAAATTAATTAAGCAGCTCTAATCACAAGCTATCAAACCATGTAATTTTTAATGCCCGTTTGGAGACTAATAAATCTGCCTTTAACTGTGATCAAAAGTTAAAAGCGATACTCCCTGTAAGTATTTCTGTATTGATAGTGCAGGACACTTAGTGGTATCATCTAGAAATTTATGCCCAGTTTAGTATCTGCAGATCAGTATTTTTATTTCCATTACTAAACTGCTCATTTTTAGCCAACCCCTATCTCTTTCATTGCGGAACAAAGTCTGAAAAAGAGGCATGCCATTTTGTCCAGCAGAATTGTCTGGCGTCTGTGCTCATGGTGAATCTTGACCTTTGGTATTAACTTTTTCCATTTAGCTGTGGATGGTTTTTGTATTCAGATTTTGAGTGGGAGTAATTGAAGGGAAAACTAACATGGTCATTCAGGAATAAGATTTGATGAGAGTTTATGAACTCACTTATTCTTAAAAATAGAAGGCGTAATTCTCAATTTGTGTTCAGCATAGCTAAAATAAAGCGAATTGATCTTCAGTAATGCTAACTGCTATTAGGCGTTTAAAATTTAAATCTTTTGTAAAGGCAGAAGTGGCTAGTGCTGTCAGTAGGCTGTTTTACACAGGACAGTCAGCACCACCATGTGGCAAAATCCTTCCACTACTTCAGTATTTAATGTTTTTTAACTCAATACTGAGGCTGGGAGAGGATGCCAACCAGTTTAGGTTTTTTGTTTCTATCTCCTCCTAATGTTCAAATATCACAAAGCAGGAAGGCAATTCTGCCCTGGATAATGCTTTTTTTTGCAGAAGTATCTCTATGATCTGTTTACTTCCAAGTATTCCTGTGAAAGAAAATCTGTGTTTTCCTTTTTCACAGTTAAAGGCCTGACACTCAACAGCGGCAGGACTTGTCCAAAGGCAGTCAGTTGTAAACCTGGCAGTTCAGGCACTTAGCTGGGATGGAGTCGAAGCAGATTTCCAACCCTACTCCCAAATCCATAGCATATGTAAACACTTTACATTAGACGAATAACTTGGTTAAAAGCAAAGTCATAGGAGGGAAGATGGGGAGGATCAAAGCTGAAGGTGAGTCTCTCCATCCCAGTTTGCTTGCTTACTGCCCTTACAGGGCAGTAACAGTAAAGGACTGTAACTCCTTACTGTAACCTAACAATAATCTTTTAAATCCTCAGTGCTTCATGCGTGCCTGACTGAGCTGTAGCACAGTTTTGCAAGGAAAGTAGAAGGTATGCTGTGGATATCGCACAGGGTGTGAATAGGCAACATGGGTTGAAGACTGTTCAACTTACACTTGTGAAGCAGCTTGAATTTTTCAGTGTCCCATATGTTACCTGTCAGCTCCTCTGCGCAGTATTCAATTAGGTCATGCAGTCATTGAACAAAAAAAAATAATTTTTTTTTTTTTAGTTTGATTATCCATACTGAAGTTGTATTTTGAATTTGTAGGAAGGTAGACTTTATGTAAAATAAATTTAGTTATTCAGATAATATTCTTCCCTTCCTCCCTGCCCCCCCCTTTTTTCCATAGATAAATTATGGTGCTTGTGCATAAAGAATAATTCTAGTTACAACAAAGCAGAAAAATCCCAAACTCTGCCTTTTTAGGAGGAGACAAGGTGAATTCATAGAAAAGAAAAAGCAGAGCAGTACAGAGACATCCTTGGTTCTCAGCTGTCATTTGCAGTGCAGTGATGTGAATCCATAATTTCTTATCACTGTTTCATGTCAGTAGAAAGACATTTTGCTTGCTTTAACATGATGGGTTTTAAGTTCAGGTAAGTAGTTTGTGTGTTTTGATAAGGTATCACTTAAGACACTTGCAAATCTCTTTTTCACTTTGATCTTCAAAGGAAGTATTTCTGCCAGCAGTTGCTTTCTAATTGATCAGCGTTATAAGAATTCTAGACAACATGGGTTTTTAAAATGTTATGGTGACTTATTTTGGTTTTTTTCACTGCAGATCTAATGGAGAAGCCTTTGAAGCCACAAGCTCCTCAAGTACCACCCAAGAAGCCTATTCCTCCAAGCAAGACTAACAGCTTACTGAGAGCAGGGCTTCTGCACCCAAAACGCCCAGATAAACCTGTTTTGCCGTCACCTGTATCCAAGTCAGTATAACTGAAATCATATACACCAAGTATATTTTATTTGGTTTGTTGTTCGATCTTCCTTCATGGATGAGGTGGGAAGAAATGTGTGTTTTAAGGGTGAAAAGGATGCAAGGAAAAGTTTTGCCCCGCACCTACCAGTGTCTTGGTTCTCCAAGTCTTTATCAATGTGAACTTAGAACTTTTGAATTCTTTGAGACATCGAATCCGTCTCAGAGTAAGTATTAGAGCAGAACTAACCACGGGGCAGATGAAGTTACAAATCTTTAGGCTGCTTTGCTTTAAGCCTGCCCTATAATGAAAAAGTTGTAGCTACAGTAGCATACAGTGTAAAAGAACGTGTGGACATGGCACTTGAGAAATATTGTGTTGGAAAAACCCTGAAGATTTGAGCTGCGTCGATATTCAATGTTTCAGCACTTTATGCAGAATAAGATAGATGGAAAGGAAGAGTTGAGCACGGTTGGTACCTGTGTTAAAGGTGCTCAGTGTTGCTCATGTGCTCTTCTGGGGAAGAAAGCACTTATCACAGAACCACTTCCAGGCTCTATGCTGTGTCTTGAGTATTCTCAGTTGAGTTACTGGAGAAATATGGAGCATGATAGCAAGTAATCACTCACGCTTTCTTTTAGATTCATTTTTTTTTCTCATGAGTTTTAAACAATTATTTAGTGTGTTTCACTAAGTCTAATTTTGCATCAATATACAACCCCCTGCCCCCCCCCCCAGTTTCCCTTTCTGTCTCCGTTGAAGTACTTGAAGTATTTAAGTATTTGCTAGATTCTTACCCAAAACTGTAAACAAACTGTTGATGGGTGACTGTCCCTTTGGGATGTTTAGTTGGTTTGAAAGAACCATGAGAAAGTAAGGTCATGATGCACTTGGCCTTGTACAAATGAAGGAGCAAACTGCTACTGCATCAGCGAGCTTGCACCTTAAACACCTGCAAAGACAGGATGGCAGAAAGCATTTGTCAAGGTTTATCCTTTTTTACAGCAGGTCCTGTAGAGGTGAACGAAAAGGGAGAAACCAGTAAGGAGGAGGGCACTGGGGGAAGGGAGTGTAGGTAAACACACACTTTGGACAGTTGGCTCCCCAACAGGAATCAGCTGCCTCTGATCCCACCCTGCACAGTGCTGGGAGTATGTTTAAATGTCTGAACGTTAAACATGGTTCTAGAAGACAAGGCTGCTATCTCTTTTTCTACTGCACTAAAGCTTCCAAATAAAGGATTTGGGAGGTGAGTTAATTACACGGACACATTGAAGCTGACAACTGGTCCATTTATATACTTTATATGCAGCTTCTGTAGGACAGCCAGGCGATCAGGCCCAGTCAGCATGGGTTTATGAAAGGCGGGTCCTACTTAAAAGACCCAGTCTGCTTCTGTGACAAGGTGACCTGCTTAGTGGAT